TGCAAATTGAGTCCACTTTAAGGGTTAGGGTTAGTGCTAGGGAATCGTGGGAATTTTTTTTTCTGAGACATTGAGCCTTCTCTGTCAGAGAGCTCTGGCGCCACAATAAAATACAGTTCCCATGATTCCCTAACCCTAACCCTAACCTTTAAAGTGGACTCAATTTGCACTATTTCTAGCAGTCTGTCTGGTACAGTCCAATTCATAAACACCATTTTTCTTAAATGCTTTGGCACATAGTTCTCCATCACGAGTTATTGTGCATAAATTGCTAAGTCCAGTTAAATCTAATGTGGTAGTGACAGCAGAAATTTCTCCCCAGCATAAAAAACATAGTGTGTTGAAATGAATAGATCCAGAAACCAGTTTCAGACAAATCATGGTTTGTCCCAGAAGGCATAAACCCCAGAGCCATTCCCAACAGCACAGCCTCAATATGTACGCTAATATCCTCCAGCTGAACAAACCAGTAGGTTCCCTTAAACTATAATTTGGTCAGCCTAAGTGTGTCCTTTGTATTTTAAAACTGTTTTCCCCAACTTTATAACCCAACCTTGAATATTTCAAAGCTGTCCTTCCACAGCAGGTACCTTGTATATGTTTGTAAGTTGAGCAGATGGCAGGGAGAAAAAAGCATATTCTTCCTTCACTGAAGATGAAAGTTAAATGACTATTTTTAATCCTGTTTATAGTGCTAACAATCAATGTTAATTTAGTTACCTGCTTGAAAATGTGTAAAACAAATTGCAATAAAATCTTTGATTAACTTAATATTGGACTGCCAGAACAACCTTTGCTTATATTTATTCAGCAAAGTCCAATACAGGTGAGGTGACTCCCCCTATACACCAGATTCCCATAATTATGGTCTAGAGTCATTTCTGAATTAGTTCCAGCTAGTTAGGTTCACTGCAAGACAATTGAGACTGCCATCAGTTGAGAATTCAACACAGTCTGATGATGGATTCATATAAAACACAAAATCCATTATTTATACACAGTAGGAAAATAAACCGTCTGACTGGGTTAGCATATGAAGTATGCAAAGGCATTTCATTTTTGACGGTTGGAAATTTTAAACTCAAGCAGCTTTTAATCAACGTCCCATTGCAAAACAAAGTTTAGCATTTTTATTTCTTATTAGCTGGCAGTGCAATGTAACTAAAGACAGAAGCTGCAAACACTTTATGGTCTATTACTCAACATATGCTTATAATAAATTAGGTATAAATGGCAGCTACTTTGGACTTACAGCATAACAAAGAGAGATGGAAAACCACAAGTTCTGTGGAAGGCTTCAAGTGATTTTGTGGAAATATTGTATATATTCTGCCACAACCTGAAAGAACACCCACATCTCAATCAACCAATGAACCTTGGGGAGGATTAAACAGAAGGGACAGGTATTGATTCAAGAGCACAGGAAAAAAGCCAACTTAATGATTAAAAGTTAGGTTTCATCTCATTTCAAAAGCCTTTTTGGGTAAGTCCACCATATCCAGCTGGACCACCATATGAGTACCATATCCAGCATGTTGTCTCTAACAATGAGTAGCAAGAGGCAAACTGTTGAAGAATAGACCACCAAAAATCATACAAGTGGTGTTTTGGGCACTACAGTTTGGGATGTTGGCATTGGAACATTGATTTGAAAATGCTGTTGGATGACAGTTTCTATCAACCCTAACCAGCATTGCCTATGGTAAGTCATGACAGAAGTTACTGTCCAACATCTGTCCATCAGTAATACCTTTATTGGTCAAGCAAAATGCACAATATACTTGTTGCAAGCTTTCGAAGCTCCATGGGCTTCTTCATCAGGCATGATGTTACAAACCAAACAGGAGAAAAACAACTGGAGATGTTAGTCAGATGCCTACATGTTGTTTCAGTCTTCAGTTTGATCTGAGAATCTCCCTATAGCCACATGGCTAGAAGGAGGAGGAGCCTGCCTGCAAAAGATATCCTCCCCACCATATACCATCTTAACAAAAGATTAAAGACTACAGAATAAACTGGTTTTTGAATCGAGTTGATTAAGCCATTTAGCGCTGAATAGATGTTCAAACTATTCAAGCAGCGATCAAACCTAACTCAGGGGGGAAGCAGACGGGCAACACGGGGCCGTCCCAGGAAGCTGCACTGCGGGGCCAAGGTATCCCCATGCCTCGGTCCCACGGCGCAGTGCTGGCTAACATCTCCAATTGTTTTTCTCCTGTTTGAAGTCCATGGAGCTTCAAAAGCTTGCAACAAGTATATTGTGCATTTTGGTTGGCCCATAAAGGTATCACTGATGGATTTTTGTTTGAATTTGCTAAATAGCCATCACATCTACCCCCAAATGCCCCACATCTGGAGCACCACATGTTTCCCACCCCAGTTTACAAGGATGTATGTACCACTTTTCAATTTCTCAGGATCAGAGAACCATTGCAGAAGGGGAAAATGTTTTTTCTCCACAGCCATTTTTTCTCTACATGATGGCAAGAGAAGGTGACCTCTGCCCATATGCTGGTTCCCTTTCTGGATAGACATTGGTATGGCAATGTTTCTTGGACCTTGGCAACACTAGTTGGCAGAAACATTTTTGCCAACAGTCTGAAAATTTTGATCAGGGGGTCTTTAAACTGAATTATGTAAGAGAGGGAGACAGTGTTCTGGAGGGCATGAGTTCATCAAGGGCTGGAGATAATAGCCAAATCATTATGGAGAGAACAAGACAAACAGTGCAAGGACCCAACAGTGGTAGGGGAAAAAAACTTTACATAGGCAGGAAGAGGGGGGGGGAATGGAAAATAAACAAGATGGACTTGAACTCCTAGCACAGCAAACTAAATACAATATAATAGGTGTCACCAAAACTTTGTGGGATGAGTCTCATTATTGGAATGTAGTAATAGAAGGGTATAATCTTTTAAAGAGAAATAGGCCAAACAGGAAAGG